CAAACAACATCTAATTATTTTGGGCCTAAATTTTTTTTTATGTGCCTTACATTTTGCACCTAACGGAAAATGAACACGTCATTCCCAACATTAATGAACACGTATCGTTGACAGCTAGGTATGCGAGAGTTTCAGCCCTTCCTTTCACATTATGAGCATAAGGTGACAATATATAGCTGAACTGGACTCGGCTGAACTGAGTTGCGGCCCGCCAACAAATAAACCGGCGTGGAATACTAAGGCATTGGTCCGGCGCAAATAATATTCTCGATCCGGCCATTCTGCTTCGAGAATATCAATATATATATATATGCTCTCCTTTCGGCAATAGTATATAAGTAAAGCATTATGTCAACCGGCAGGCTGCCGATAAACAAAAATCAAGAACATTGAACATGCCTTCTTTCGTTCCAAAAATACTCTCTCCGACGGTGATAATGGTGGTGATGATGATGATATTGCTGGCAACAATGATCGTCGTCGTCAAAAGCGACTTCGATGGAGCCTACGAGTACGCCTGGTGCAGCAGCGACAAGAAAGTCCATTACTCGCCCAGAGAGATCGTTGCAAAATTTTTGACCATGGACAAGGCGATGGCTGGCGCGTCTGATGTCCAGGGAGGCGATATGCAGCACTGCGAGTGCTCGGCCGCCGACGAGGACACCGGCACCGTTTGGTGTGCTTATGCTTCGTGTACCTCCTCACTGTCCGGCGATGACTGCCGGCGTTGTACTGAATATGCGGCGACGTTGCTGTCCCCGGCTTGCCGTGGTCTGGATGGCGGGCAATGGGCTCTCAAGGATTGTTTCTTGAGGTATGAGACCCACCCATTCTGCACCAACTAACCAAATCTGCTGGGTCGGTCTGTTTGGTGTACTCTATTTTACGTGTGGCAGAATACTAAGGTTGAATATGAATCCATGACCTATGGGCTATGGGGTTGGTGTCCTGGGGTATCACTTGAATAGAATGTTGGTTTGCCGCGAATTAGGGTTTGGCCTAGTCGTAACTTTACTCGTATGGAATCTCTTTAATATCACTTTACTTTAAAATTCAACTTATATGAAACAAAAAAAAAAAATCGAGAAAGCATGAAAAAGAGTGAAAGAGGAAAAAGGCTAAATAGTACCTGAATCTGATGAAGGAATCAACAAAACCTATCACTTAGAATTATCAGATAGTAAAATCGTGCCGAAGGTCGCAACAGAAAATCATGGTAAGGTATTTTAAATTGAAATTGTGATTTAACCGTGATTCAATCATTTCATAAGCAGCCAAAACGATTTAGACTCCATTAAGAAATCTTCTCGTTCGCACAATCAATACGATACGATTTTAGAAACATTGATTCTCGAAGAGTGGAGGATATGTTTCCCTGAATCTAAACAGGAGAATGATGAGGAAAGTATAAATAACGCTTGTAATGTAACTGAAACTGAATATAGCAATTTTGAAATTTAGTAGAAGAGAATATTGCGAATGAAACAAAAAACGCTGGTTTCTAAGTGAGCGCATAAGGTCATCTACTACAAAATCCTACAAAACTCAATTTATGGTCGTCTAGATTTGCCTCATTCGATGGCCAAAAAAGCATGTGGATAAAGAAGGCAGTCAGCAGGGGCGACATGGTGATTTTTGTGTAAATTTTGTTGACAGTCTGTCATTGATCACTAGCCAACTACTCTTTTTTCAAATCACTCATTTTCTTAATAGGGTCATATATCTGTCACTACAACAGAAATGGGCTTTTATGATGAAAGTAAATGGTCACGAAATGTCAAATTTTAGTCACAAAACTTATTTAGTTACCAAATTTTTTTGGTGGAAGCTTTGGTCACATTCGCCCCGTTAGGAAAAGTACTTCCTGACCAAATCGAAGATTTGGTCACAATATATATTAATTTGTGACGAAATACAGTAATGGTCACAAATATAATTTTTTATGTGACCAAAGTAATTGGTCATAAAAAAACTGTCAAAATTGTCATGAAAAATATGCAATTGGTCACAAATATTATAAAAGCTAACCAATTTATTTCTCTTTTATTGACCAAATGAAAAAGTCACAAAATCAATTATTTATAACCAATAAATTTGGTTATCAAACTGTGATCCATAACTAATTTAATCATCTTTGAGTAACCAAAAGTAATGGTTATGAAACTGTTGCCGCAATCATTATTTTTGGTTAGCATATGTTCTAATTGTGACATTATTTTGGCTATTAAAAGTATATTTTGTGACCAATTTACTAGTTTTGAAGCAATCATTGTATTGGTCACAAGGTATTATTTCCTACTGATATCTTATGGATACTAAATATTCTAAAGTTGATATGCTACAATAATATGACCATTAATTTGGTTTTCGAAATAGCATAATGCATCAATATATTGTTACAATAATAACAATTCACATCAGTCAAAAGAAATTGTTTTCAAAACATTGTCACATCACATTGGCCCAAAATATGGCGTTTTATTCATAAAAAATTATACAAGATCTGCAAACTCCCTCTTATGCGACTATCTCCATGTTACGAGCACTGGACACCTACATCACTTTCAGTAGTAGTATAGATGCGAGCTTAATAACTCCCACGATTCAATAATGCCAGGCAATTTCAACTTCTGCTGCTGATTTAAGAGTAAAAAGGAACAAACAGTAATAATTAAAAAAGTTATATTAGTGCTTAGTGACTGACAACTAATAAAGTCCATTTATCTACACAATAAATAAAAGTCAAATGAGAAAACTTGAAGCCCCATTTCAAATTTCCTGCATCCAGAGTGAAAGTAGGAAGGTCATTTTGGTCTTCACAATTACTTTTGTTTTATTCATTAAAAAGACACTTACTAGGATTCGAACCATGACCACTTTAAAGAAAAGCAAAGATCATAACCAATCACACTAAGTACATTTGTTGTATCTTTTTAAATTAAAAACATATAATCGTAGAGAGGAAAAAACCCTTCCCCTATTTCAAATTCCCTGCTCCAAGAGTGTTTGTAGGAAGGGTAGAATAGGGAGTGTCAATTTTTTTCTTTTTCCTCTGCGGAACGGGCCAACTTACCGTACACATGCGAATTTAAACGGGTCCAGGAGTGTCAATTTTTTTCTTTAAGTCCTTTAATTTCTCTGTGGTGGTAAAATATATATGAAAAGGCAAAAACAATACTCCTTTTTATTGCTAAAAAGAAAAAAATTTAACAATAAATTAATGCATGGCTTCTAATGGGTTAACAGCTAATCATACAATAAAAGAGTTGAATGGGCCTGACCTACACGGGATTTGCCCATCAAGTAAAACAAATGAACATCATGGGTTTGCCATTCTAAAACAAGCTATTTTCTCTAGCATAATATATATTATGCTATTATTTTATATCTTAGTGGCTAAAATATAATGTATTTTAAAGTTATTCAATGGTTCAACCTCGACCAACCCAATTAGTCCAATTTTTATCATTTCAAATATATATTATATAATTATTTGATATCATAATGATTAAATTATAGTGTATTTTATAGGGAATCGTTTGGTATTTGTTAGTAAAAAAATAAACAGAAAGATCTATTTGGTTATTTTAACATTAAAACGATCCTAAACATTTTCAGCTTTCTTTCGAAATTCTATAGTTTTATTCCCGAATCAGTGATGTGCATATGGTGAATTGTAGTCATCTCTTTTCTTTCATTATTTTTTATTTTCAAATAGAAAGTTTAAAAGTAAAGAATAATTAGAGTTGCTTTCTTTCGAAATTCTATAGTTTTATTCCCGAATCAGTGATGTGCATATGGTGAATTGTAGTCATCTCCTTTCTTTCATTATTTTTTATTTTCAAATAGAAAGTTTAAAAGTAAAGAATAATTAGAGTTTGGCATGGGTCGGTCAAACATGCTGAATTTCAAGTTTTGGCCCGTTTTGATCACGTCTAATTTATAATTACATGGTTCCCTGATACCCGATGAAAATCTCAATCCAAACCAGTTTGGCAGGTGAGTCCGTGTTTACCACCATTTTCTAGGGATACAGGAACAGTGGTTCCTATCCAAAATCGTGTTGTTCATTCTTGATTTCTTTAGATTTTATCATGGCTTGGCAAAAAACAAGAAAGCACAATGATGACAAGTTGAAAGTCTTATAAAGCAAATTAATCGGCCAAAGGGCCGAGTAAAAGCTAGCAACGATTGTGAGATGCTCATTTCCCGAAAACCGTCGGGATAGGCGATTTTTTATTCGATTTTCTGGAATTCGATTTCTATAAAACTTACTCAACCTCATCATATTACTAGAAACAATATTGTTTCACGAGGTAATAGGTACTTGATTTTGGTTCAAAATGCTGATTTTTTATTCGTTGCATCATTCATGTCTCTTTCCTACTAAAATTCACTATTTTTATCACGTGTTTTCCAAAAACAACTATACAACAATAAGCTATACACCCCATTACATTATCAAATTTCATACCTCACCTTCCTCTGGCCAAATGGCCTGGGCCCACGCTAGTTTTTATGTACCGAGAATGAAAGGAAAGAATAGAACAGGACTTGCACAAAAGAGACTAGAGATACTTACATAGTTAGCCTCTTCCGTTCATCTCGCCATCCTCTCGACTCATAATAGTAAGCTCTTTTATATATGGTGATCTGTTCACGCTCTTCTCCATAATTGGAAACATTTTACAAAAAGAAAACGAACATACTGCTTAGGATTGCAGAACTAGAAAAGGCCTAATGACCAAGAGCTTACAAGCAATTTTCCTTCCTTAATTCTTTTGGGCAAAGTCATTTGGACGAAGTAGGCAAGATTTTGCCAAGTGAAAAACCAGAGAGCTTCAAGTTGGACATCCTCTTCTCCTTACAAACATATATATAAGCTTACCAGTTTTCTGATGTACCGGCCTCTTCTTATCCTTTTAATAGTGTTGTCCTCTTCCATAGCTCCCCTGTGTAGGACCTGTAGAATTGCCCCACCAGAAAAGTTAGTATTAACATCAGTTCACCTTTCGCTGCACGATCATTCTCACTTGCTTGTCGCTATAACCCAACCCACAGAGGTAAGGGATGTAGTCATCTGGCTCGATATCATAGACCAGCCCGGGGTTCAATACCTTCGATGGGTTCACGTGGCCTGAACCCATGTCGAAAACTGTAGCAGAAACATTCTGCTCGTTCGAGATCGGGTGGCCACTGAGATCAAATGTGTAGGCAGTGGTCAAAATGGCCGACCTTATGACCTTCAGTTCATCTCGCCATCCTCTCGACTCATAATAGTAAGCTCTTTTATATATGGTGATCTGTTCACACTCTTCTCCATAATTGGAAACATTTTACAAAAAGAAAACGAACATACTGCTTAGGATTGCAGAAAAGTTAGTATTGTTCTTTGTCATCTCCATTTCTTAAGTTTCCATCACCAGTTACCTCAACCAGACTTTCCAAACGCTTCTGCATCTTCCTCTGTATTAAACCTCGCATGCACTGTTGAAAAGATGTGAGCAGAAGTGTACAATGGTCATTGTTAGTTGCCGGGGGAGTTTGAGGTAAAGGGAAGGGAGTGGGTGCTTGAGGCATAATGACAATGGCTCGATAAACAGTAGCTTGAAGCAACGTACCAGAAAAGCCCGAGAGTGCTGCCATAGATGAAGAGGATATCAACTCCTTTCGCTGCAATAGTAGTTGCAACTGCAGGCCTTAATCTGTAAATAACTTGCAGAAGCCAAATTAAAAATTACGTCAAGTTTGAAAGGTAAAACATCAAGATGAATTCAGTTAAAAGGATTTAATAGTATCTCAATTTTAAGACATGTAGATTTGGCATCAAAGAATTCGCTGCCACCCATCCATCAGTGCCATAATCACTGGACCTATAACAAAGATACAAAGTGGCTACATCACAAACTTGGATGAGCACCAGTAGCTGCTAAGATAAATTTTCCCAACAACATCCACCATTTACAAGCATAACATACGGGTGTGGAAGAATAGACAGAACCATGAAAATCATAGTTTACAACTTCTTAGTTTCGCCTAAAGCATCAGTAGCAAAACACTGTTCTTAAATGGTTCAACATGCAGTAACTCAAGCACATAATAAGAGAACAAGGTAGCAAAACTAGACCTCAGCAAACCCAGACCACTATCTTCCGGTCTGGCTTGTAAATGAGATCGTGTTGTGCCCCACGAAAACTTCAGACGAATGTATTCCCTACAAAAGAGAAGTTCAATTCTCTACTCTAATTAAACTCCTTAATAAGTTAACGGAATGAAAATGGGAGTCTATGGTGCAAGGTCCTATACTTACTGTGAGTGCATCGTCCATGCTTATTGCTTCCAGTAAGTCTCTAGCGACAAGTTCTGATGGGGGCATTGAGTTCAATGCGAGTGCCAAATGAGTATTTTGAGTTCAATATGAGAAATCATCTCCTTAAAAATCAACATATCAAGCAGACATTCGAAGAACAAATGCCATCCCCTGCTGACAATCCAATTCTTCTCCTATCCCAAATTGGACTGTGTACTTCATCCCTGTATCAGTTCTGATACTGTAGCCAATCCACCACACATCATTACACCTTATGATAGACATTATGTACAGACAGTAAGACATCACCGCTGCTTTCGAAGAACTAATTCTCCTATACCCAACTGCTTTCACATTAAGCAAGAAACAATAAAACATCACCACAATGAAGCCATTATGCAAAAACGAAGTTCCATAATCAGTATATGTGTATATAATACTCTTCTTAATTTAAAAGTATAGAAGACTCTCACTATGGAGGAGTTTGTTCTTCAGTTAGTAGGTTCAGATATTGAAGCAACTACTTGTTCGTCCTGCCACCAACTAAAGATGGGATCAAGACCATAAGCCTTAAAAGTCCCGTATGATCTGGGACCACTGCCTAGTTGGACTATGGTTAATTCCACTTTGATTAATTATCCTAGACCAGCAGCCTACAGTTTATTTCAGTTGTATTAAGCTATCTTATAGGAGCCTCATTTAGACTTCTCTCAGCTATAGCAGCCGCATTTAGGAGATAGGAACAAGGACTTGTACATTCACACTGTTTTGTAGTGGTTTTGCTGCGTGATTAGATTGCTTAGAAGTGAATTTTTTATCTGTTTTATCAAAGTAGCAGAGGATTGGGTCAAAGGATACCTGTAGAACCGAGAAGATGACTGAAAGAATGTAACTGTGAAGTACCATGGGAACATAGACTGTTCCAACCATTGTGTCTATGAATCCCAATGTCAAGGGAAGCCTCTGTTAATAAGATAAAACATCAGTAAAACCTGTCATTAAGAATTTTATTGCTCCATAGGAGGATTAATTAGTAAAAAGCGCCTCCTTGGAAAACATATGTAGAAGCTGCTCCTTGGGGCCTATTAGAGGGAAAAACAAACCAACTATGAAAGCACATTTAAAGCAAGTTGCATCCAACTCATACTAAGCTTCCAGTTGTGGCATTTAGTCTATATACCATTAGATAAATCATGATGAATTCGAAAGTAAGCAGCAAAAGAACTGGAACCTCAAAATCCCACAGTTACTCCTGCATTTTCATCCCTGAATTAGGGCTAATAAGAGTATGCAGATCAACGGGTAGTGAACGATCCAAAACATGCCAGAATTCAACATTATTTAGAGAAAACGATTCGGTTGAATTAAGAAGAATAATTGGTACAAGAATGGAGGGGAGAGAGCGATACCAGTCAATCTGAGGATAGAGGCTCCGTTGGAGACGGCAATACCAATGGAGGGAAAGATGCAAGGAGAGGCCCTAATGAAAGCTCGAGCCCAGCAACTAGCATCCATCCTCTTAGGATTGAACACAACGAGAGACTTGGCTTCACTGTGGCTACCAATAATGTCTGCTCCTCTAGCAATAGATCTCTGCTTCTTCGTTTTCTTTCTCTAAAGAATCCATGACCGAGAGGAAACCTAGAGTGAGAATACTTCCCCCACGACCTCTGACTCCCTGCCAGATCTCCCTTGCGCCGCCGGGTTGCACAATACGATCCAATCCGTCGTCAACTATCATCCGGCTTCGATTAGATCCCAATTCCCTAGAAAAGGTATCGCAAATTCAATATTGGAAACTGAATCCGACTCATCTACCGCTTAGAATAGGAATGATTTTAGGTTTGCATTTAACCTTGGAGCAGGTAGGGTTGCAGAGGTAAGCAACGGTAAAGCCGGCTGCGGGAGCGGCGGTAGGACGACGGCGCAAGGACGAGGCAAGTGGACGAAACAGATAGCGTTGGAGATTCACCATCTTCGATTTGGTTATGCGCAGACGGAAGGAAGCCTCAGCGAGGAGACTGACTAGCGGTGGTAGAAAGGAGGAGAGCAGATGTTTGGCCTTAGAGATTCATCGATTCACCGTCGTCCATTTTGCTGGAGTTTTGAATCAGAATCGGAACAAACATTTAGGTCTAGAAAAACAGAGAGAAGGAGAAACAGGAGACCTCTGTCGGTCGGGGAAGTGAGAAATGAGAAGTGAGAAGTGAGCAGTGAGCTATAAAAAGTTAAAATAAAGATAATAACCAATAAAATTGGTTGGAATTCATATTTCAGTATCCATTATCCGCCAAAGGTAACATAGCCTAGTGGTGAAACCACTGGTCCAATTGAGCTCTAGATGTGAGAGGTTCGGAGTTCGATTCCCAGTGGCGCCACTTGAGCGTTCCCGGCGGCACCCTTGGTATAGGAGGCAAAGCCTCCCCGATGTTGGTAGCAGAAAGCCCCGGTTAGTATGCAGGTACCCCCAGTGGTTTAGTAGGCCCCGCTATCGCTCAAGCGGCACGTGGGGCTGAGGTTCCCTGGGTTATTTTGGTTACCAAAAATATTTCATTGTTTTGTAACCAATACTATTGGTCATGTAAGTTTTAATTTGGCTGTAAATAAGTTTGTTTTAGTTAGTAACCAATTCATTAAAAAATTCACTACCAAAATATAATTAGTTACATATAGTATGTCTTTGGCAACAAAAACAAAAATAGTTGCATGAAAATGGTTACAAAATGCAGTTTTTGTTGTAGTGTGTTTAACTCAGAATTTAAGAAATTTTGCATGAAAATACAAATTAATTAAGATATACACAATGATATCCATTTAGTTAGGATAAAAAACACAATGATAGCCAACGACTCTTTTTTCGAATCACTCATTTTCTTAACCGGATCATATCTCTTTCGTTTTAACTCGAATTTAAGAAGTTTTGCATGAAAATACAACATTAATTAAGATATACACGATGATATCCATTTAGCTGTGATCTAAAACAGGGAAGCCAGATCGGTGAATCTCTTTAAGGAAACTTGGATCGAGACATTGAGGATGTCCTCCGGTTCGGTGACCCATTTCGGATTTCCGGCAACAGCGGAAGATATGGTCTAGCCCGATTGTGTGGTCAAGACTCTGATTGAATCGAGTTTCACAACGATCAGTCTGTATTGGTGACCTTTTTTTTTGGTAGCATGTATTGGTGACTTGGTGTGGCTAATCAAAGAAATTAGATTTTGTATTTTTTAATAATCATGATAGTGGGGTGAAAATTTTAAAAGATTAAATTATTTATTTTATGATTTTTTAGTTGTCATGTCACTAATTTAATAATGAATTATGAGAGTTGATCGTCAAATAAAATGAATTTAATTGGATGACCAGTAAGTCAGTGACCAAACTTGAATGATTGAAATAATTTTTGTAATCTTGAATGAAATATAAATTTTTTAGTGGCAAACGTAAAATAATTTGGTAAATCCCGGGACCAAATTTGTAATTTATCCTATATTTAATTCAACTGTTTAAAAAAACATATAGTTATCTTGGATAGTCTTAGTCTGAATAAACTATAACATATTACAGTTGGACGGTTTCTTTAAAAACAATTATACATGATTAATTATGGAAATTTTTTTTTTTTGTATTTTTTTGTATAGTTGCAAGAAGAAATTATATACGGAGTGACTCTTGGTTACAATTTTTTTTTTTTTTGTTTGGTGTAAAAGATAGCTAGTTGCAGGAGTTCGCCGTTCCCTACGTACGTAGCAGCTAAATATCATCGAAATAAAACCACACTATTTAAAGAGGACTGCAAAAAAGAATCAAAGAGGGAATGAGTGATCGAGAAAAAGAAAGATTGTACCTCTAGCTATGGTCCTGGAGTATCACTTGAATAAAATGTTGGTTAGCCGCGAATTAATTAGGGCTTGGCCTAATCGTAACATTACT